TAACTTTTTAGGTAAAAAAAAAACTGGGTATCTAAATGATCTCATTACTGTTCGTTATACTTGGGGAGCAGGATGGTGTGGTGGTAACACTTGTGCCTCACAGCAACAAGGCCTTGGGTTCCATTGCCCCGACTCAGGTATGTTTTGTATGTTCTTCGGGTTCTCCAATTTCCTCCTAAAGCAAATAAAAATAACCCGTAAAAACAAAGTTTTTCACTATAAATCCTTTATATGCGTGGCGGCTAGAGTCCTCGCGTCCTCTGGCTTGAGATGGCTGCCACCTATGGGTCAGATGATTGCCTGCCACCATTAAGCAATTGGTAATTAAATATAAAAAAAAATTCCTAAAAAGTGTAAAGTTATGGAAAAAAAATTTCACGAAAATAAATTGTCACGCACAACGAGTCTGTGAGCAAAATGTCAGCTCGATTGGATGACGGCAAGTGGGTTAAAAAACGACCAAAAGATTTGCACGGTCGTAAGCGCGCAAGCAAGCAAGCAAGTGAACTTAATATAAAGGAATTTAATAAAGGATTTAAAAAACCCCAAAACATGCAATGTACCTGGTATTGGCCAAACATCCCAATGCTAAAAATATACCTGCGAACGACTCAATTGGGATCACACGTAGTAACATCGCCCCTCTACAGGGAAACATTATTCTGACCCTCGTGATAAAGAGTTGAGACTCAGGAATGAAACTGCGGGCGCATTCGAAATGTCCACTTTGTCAGATAGTACTCTTTATGTGCGCGTGGTTTTTCGAGATGAATACTGCTTGCATATATATGTGCGTGCACGTAATGGATGTTAAACACAAATATCCCTAAGTGATAAAGCTTCCATTAGCCTCACAAAATTAAGGTAATATTTATGGAAAACATCAGATCAATTTATTTGATGATTTAATATACTTTTTATATGAAATGTGTACCACATGTTACGTTGTTTATAATTGTTTTATAAAGGGTATGGGTAGCTTCTAATGTTTGCATATTGATATTAGTATGCAAACTACTGTAGAAATTCACAAGAAAGGCTGCCTGTGGTTATGATAATAGGGGTTTCCCCTTTCTGGCAATAAAACAGGTGTTAAGATGTTAAAACACCAAATTGAAACATTTGCAAGGAATCATGTCTGCATTAACCACATATACCTGTGGTGAACATGCAAACAAAAGAAACATGCTCTGGTAATATATGCATTGTCTTTGAAAACTGATTGGTCCACACCCGAGACAGCTTTCTTTAGAGCCTAGTCTCAAACAGTGTGAGACCAGAGGACTGCCAAAAGGCGAACAGCAGAAAGACAACGCACATTGAGAGCTCGAGGTGAGCAGCTACATCATGAGACCTCCTTTAATGTTTCCTGGTGTAGTGGATTCAACTACTGTACTCCTTGGAGGCAACACATTTATTGATACCAACACAAAGGGGTAACTGCCCCTTTACCAGATAACATCCTATGGTGGTGGACCACCAGGCTAACTACGCTAATTACACTGGGAGTAGCTACAACGGACAGGCTCCCGGCTTGGGTCCAGCTCCACGTGTTGGTGACCTCACGGACGTAGAATCGTAGATCTTCAGGATGAACAACAGCAACGCTGAACCCCGGTCCCTCTGGGGACCCGGTTTATATCCTCACTGGTCGTGGCTGGCCCCGCCCTTGGCCACGACCACCTTCTCGAATCCTCGAGCAGGATCTCGCCCTGACACGTGACCACCCCTAGCCCCCCACTTGGGGCCCCTGTGTAGACTTTACCCGTCACGTGCCTTCCAGGGTCAACCAGAGTGCCATGGCCTACAGTAACCCCATTCATGGCCGGCACCCTCACACCCCCTCCTATAGGGGTCGGCACTGCACGCCGAGCGTGGTGCCACTCACTCAGCGCTCTCTATCAGCGCTCACCGAGCCCTTCTCGGGCTGGTACGGGGTGTCCGCGGTGTCAATACATCACACGCGTGCCTCGCTAGAGCCGGCGTTACCCAGTGACATCCACGATGTCACATCCACGATGTCACTACACTGGCCAATGAGGTCTCATGATGTAGCTGTCTGTGGTTGTTACATTAAATTAAGAGTGCAGAAACATGATATGCAAACCAAGTATAGCACATATTGCATGGGAAATTTGTCCGTGCTTCAGTAAAAAGAGAACATATTAAGGTGACATTTTTCTATGAAGCTAGAGCATCTCCCTTCCCGTATGCATATTGTGTAGTAATTGGTTTCTAAAACCACCACTTAATGAAACCAACGCTTGTTATAGTATTAATAATCGAAATATCGAATGCTGAAGCCAAATGTATCAAGCACATAGTTATGTTGCTTCTCTTAATCCACGTTGAAAATGTAACTGTTTTTTGTTACCTTTCATTTAATATCTAAAGGAAGTACATTCTGTCGACAGCACTGCACTCCAAACTCTGATTAAGGGGACGTCACGCACCTGGGGGGAGGGTCAGATATTTGTGACGATGTGTGACGGGGGGGGTGAGAAATGTGACGTCACATCAAAATGCGCAACTTTAAATAAATATAGACAACACGTTCTACTTCATTAAATATACTTTTAAATAAATGTTTTCTCCTACAAGATCAGAGCGCAACGGCACATTAAATACGCACTACGATGACAATAGTTTAAAGCGATTTGAAGCATGTTTTATTTTGGGGGGGGGGGCACAGCTTTGTGACGTCATATTTGAGGGGGGGTCTGACTTTTTGTGACGTCGGGTGACGAGGGTGGGGGGGATTAAAAATCGTCCAAAACCGCGTGACGTCATTTATGGACGGCCCCTAATGGCAATACTTACATTTATCCAATTATGTGCAAAGCATAACACATTTTTCACGTTTGAATGGACGTAAATTTTACAACTGAGATTATGCACGACAATTTTTTTCTCCCACTGACTTATTCAAAAGACATTGTACTTTTTTTCACTGAGTTAAATCAAACAAGATTTGGTGTCGCGATTTAAGGATTAAAGTTACGTGTGAATGCCCAGCCGGTTGACAAGAAAAACGGTATTATATACATTTATATGTATAGTCGTCGTGATATAAGACTCTCAGAGCTAGTTGAGATAAAGGCTTCCAAAATTTGTATGTATATCTATTGTTTAGTTGTTGGTCTTACCGGCCTACCGAAATGTAGGAAATTGCATGGTCAAACATGACAAGCATGTGAGTGGGCCTCATTGATCTTGTATTTTGTCAACCGATGCTATGTTAATTGACAGCTTTTTGTCAACCCAGCATTCATGAAGACCTCCCTATGTTCTTATCAGTCATTGGGGTTGTTTTACCATACTTCACAACGCTGGTCTATGTGGTTTAATGAAGGGGGTCTCGAACAATTTCAGTTATCACGCGTCACTGATGTTAGGCATCGCTGTAAATCGAACTCTGGGTTCACAGCGCGATGTGCCACCACTCCACCCCAATGCAACTTGATGCAGTGTATGTGATTTTTTTTATGAATAACGCTGGTGTTCGTTGAAGGTACTTTGATTCCCCAAAGACACTCAACAAACCGGGATAACTCACTTTGATCCTGTAATCTAATAAAGTCGGGTTGAAAAAATGCAGGAGTGCCTACGATTGGAAAGCATTCATCATGTCTAAAAGAAAAGTGGAAGTTACAAAACAATCGATAATTTAGACATCTACAGTGTATTATGCAATGCCTATGTGTTTAAGAAGGATTGAGCACTCAAAAAGAATGTTATAATTCATAACTTTGATTTAATAAAAAATATATATATGTCTAACTATTGTGGTGTATTTCATGAATTCTAAAATCTTGGGAATTGCAGCTTGATGATAGAAACACAAACGAATCTCAAAATATATTCTGGCTAGATATATTTTGGAAAGAAAAAAATTATCACAGTACACTATTAGATTTCTAGTGGAGTGACTAACGTGTGTGTGCAGTTTTAATTCTGATATTTTTTATTCGTAAATTTGGATACATCTTGAAAAAACCCAATACATTTAAATATTGCTAAGTAAGCAACACAAATTTAGAACGAACAAATTTTGCAATGTTTAAAAGTGATTTTCAGCATCCAGTTCACTAAAAAAAAATCTTTTTTTCAATGGACACAGAACGCGAGGTAAATATTGAGAGCAGAAATAAACAATTGCAGAACACTGTGAACTAAAAATGATAGAACATTTTTATTTTTTCGGGCATTTATAATTTTTTTACATATTATTTGTTATGTTTTATATTCGTTATGTTGCATAACAAAGACGCCTGTTGAGATTCAATGGTAATACATTACCTGAGGGAGCTTATAACCCCCCCCCCGACACCGGCAAATCAACAAATGAAATTGTATTCATGATATTTGCATGATAAAACAATAACAATTGCTATTATTGTTGTCCGTCAATCACACCTCCGGTGACCACGGGTTGGCTACGTACGGTGCGATCGAAGTTCAACATACATACATACAATAATGGGATTACACAATATTTACACAAGATTTATCCCAGTAATGTTTAAAAGTAGGTTCGTGAGGTGAATGATTTAAATGTGATGTGAATTTGTGTTGATAGCCATATATGAGAGCAGCAAAAGGTTGATGATCATACTATACTGATATGGACGTACAGGGTATGCCGATCTAAAATAATCCTATGTTATTGTACCCAATATTCTATAATCTTATGAACAGCTTTTCAAAACATATGTTGACAAAATAAGTCGAGATGAATTTGGTGTGCCAAAATAATTCCTGCAACAGCGCTCTGACAAAATTAACAACCATGTTTACAATGTAAGCCAAGGACATTTATGCAAAATAAACTCAGAAATGTAAAACAAGGGTTACTAAATGGACAGTAAACTTGCAACGAATGGCTCCTTAACGTTTCCTTCGTGTTCCGCGCTGTAAATTCTCTCTTTTTGCAGCCAAGTTTTCCAATGAGCGGAATTCACATTAGTGGCGTCGTAACCCGTTTTTTCCCCCCTCGCCAGGTGTTCACGCGCTATGGCAAGTGCTACATGTTCAACTCGGGCAAGGATGGGCGACCGCTGCTCACGACGCTGAAGGGCGGCACGGGGAACGGCCTGGAGATAATGCTGGACATTCAGCAGGACGAGTATCTGCCCGTGTGGGGCGAGACCGGTGAGATGACTCCGAGACGAAGGGGGCATCATGCCGGACAGGCGTTGAGTGGCAGGAGGCAGGGAGAGGGGACGATTCATGTGATGAATTACTTGAATTGGTTTTGGTAATTAAGTGCTTTCAATTAAATTTCGATTTAAAGCTTTCGTGACTGCAGGGATTCATCTTCTTGGTTCTTTCGGTAAAGTCACGTAGAAGGGAAGTCATAAAATAAGAAAAATAAAACGTCGTGAGAATTATTTTATTATGATTTATTTTTTTATTTTATTACTTCCCTTCTACATGACTTTACCGAACGAACCAAGAAGATGCTTTCAATTAGTTCACAAATAAATGAAAAATACTCAGTAAAGCCAACAATACATTTTCGAGATCTTATACATTTGATCATGAGCTTTGAAATTCTTCCCATAAAACTGAACTCTGTATTCTCTCCAACCTCCATCTGCACTATCTTCAGCACCGAGGGCTCCTCTCATCCACTGCTTTAAGAGGCAGTTGCATATTTTCGAAGTAACATTTTATCGTGAGCTAAATTGTATTGATGTCTCTCCTAACAAACATCGTTTACTTTAGTTATTTAAAAATAAAAATATTACAATTTGGAAACACATTCCAATTAATTCTTGTTCACGTTAGCCCTACCAATCGACACTGTCTCTATACCATTGTGCATTCTCTGCTCTCACATTACTATGGATGATGATGATACGCTTTCCTTCACTTGTTTTAAGCCACCCGTTTTAGCATTACTCACAGCCTCCACACTTAGTGACTCTGTGCTGCTTGTCAGCTGGCAACGCCCTTTTACCGTTTACTTTCAGATGAGATCTCCTTGGAAGCAGGTGTTAAAGTACAGATACATAGCCAAGACGAGCCTCCGTTCGTGCACCAGCTGGGCTTTGGTGTGGCACCCGGATTTCAGACTTTTGTCTCCTGTCAGGAACAGCGGGTATCTTGACAAAAAAAATTATAATAATAAAATTGAAATCGAGAAAGAGCCCTCAGCGATGGAGGAAGTAAATACTGAATACTCATGAAATGATCAAACGTGGTTTCCACAGATGTTTGCTTTATTAGAGGTTTCTTTCTGCAAAATACGACATAGATGTTTGAAAGGAATTTACGTAAAATAATTTACATTTTGTAGCAGTGTAATTTTTTTTTATTCAACCATTAACCTGAGGACTCTTTTACTATGTAATCGCAGTTTAAAGTCAATCAGCACTGACCATTTAAAAAAAAATTGTTGCAGCTACAGACGTTCTACCACCAAATTGTATTTTTTTTAGTCAATAAATTTCCTTACTGACTAACATGCAGAGTAAGGCCCATGTTTAGTCTAGGGAAAGGTAAAAAGCTACGAAGTAAAAGAACACGTAATTACGGTGAAGGTTTTAAAATAGATGTGTTTTAAGTATGTAACATCTGTTGTAAATGGTCAGTGTGGGATTGATAATGCCGCAACTTTGTTTGGTTTCTTTTCGGTCATGTTTCACCTCATCTCACTGTGTCCACATGGAAGATGAAACCTCGTTCGAGGCCGGTGTTAGGGTGCAGATTCACAGTCAGAGTGAGCCGCCCTTCATACACGAGCTCGGATTTGGAGTTGCTCCCGGCTTCCAGACTTTTGTTTCCACTCAAGAACAGCGGGTAGAGTCAGTCGGGACTTGCTGCCTGCATCTCTTGCTTCCCTGCATGTTTCAGTGTGGTTTTTGTTTGTTTGTTTCAAAGTGCTTATTGGCATGCTGACAATGCATGTCACTGAGGCAATCAATGCTGGCCCAGCCTCATGCAATTTGCTGGAACAGTTTCACCAACGTCGTGTTGTTAAATGTGCTATCCTTATTGCATGCACAATTGAATGTAAAATAATTCAAGCTAGTAGTGACGGGAATGTAATGTTTAATATATGTGCAAACATAAGGCATGCTTAGAACTATTTAATATTGTTTTTTTATGCTGTAATAATTCCCAATATTACGATTAATAATAGATGCAATGTAATTTTCAGATGTGGACCACCACTACAGATAATAGTTGGTGGGTTGTGTAAAAATGGAATTTTCTGAGACTCCTGATCTTTGGAGTAAAATAAAAAGTTAATCATGTTTTGCAAAACATTGGGGTAAATTCCAGAAAAACCTTCCCCGACTGAGCACCCTACCACTATCCGTGCTTGGAAACCCACCAGTGGCATTTCTACAGGCGGATGCATGTTTGATTTTGAATGCGGTAACAAATATATTACAGATATTTATAGTAAGTACAGTCCCGATGACACATGGGCTTTTGCAACCAATGTTACGATTCATCATAGATTTTTTTGTCAGATCGTGTAAGCAAAATGTGTGTAATAAGCCCTCCTCCACCGGAGACAGATATTTAATAAAGTTGTCACATGAACAAGCGTCTCAATGTATTACTGCTTCAGCACACCGGTATCTTGGAGAGAAATCACACACCATTGAACAATTGGGTACCACGTTTTGCGGATAGTAACAACAAGCATCATCAGGGAGTTGCCAGAATTGTGGAAATACAGTTGATGATCGATTATCGGGCACGCGATTATTCGGCTTCCAACAATTTCTGGGGGTTCCGGGCCGATCCGGCAAAACTGCTCCCCAATCCGGCGAACGGCACCATGTGCATGACAAAAAAAGTAGCTATGCTTGATTTCAGTGTCAAATATACACCGTACATTACACGCTACATACAACAACTTAAACAATGAAAATACTGCACGTATATAGATTTTTCGTGACTAATAACTTTAGTAAAAAACCCACAAAATATGCAGTTCGATCCGGCGAAAAGGGGGTGTAATTCAGTTCGCCGCAGCACCGGTCTAAATACTACATCAGTCTGGCGATCGTCAAACACATAGTTGTTGAAACAAAGCATAGTAGTAGGTACATCAACCTATGCAGTCAAAATGGGACCCTTTAACCAGTATCAAAGCATGACAAAATAGGATGAAGGTTCACTTTTCACAGTAGGACATTTATTTTTGCCTATTTGTATGTTTATTTATGGCAAGTTCGTATCGTAAACACGTTTAAAACATAAGAATAGGTTTTTCCCCTTTTTCTGGTACTGGCAAAGGAGGTCCCATGAGGTTTAAAACACTCCAATAGTATATATACACACAGAACACCTGAAAAAAACAATGTGATGCACTAATGTGAAAAAATAAGCTATTTAAAATAATATGATTATTCGGCTTTTTTAATCGATGATCAACTGCGTTCTCCAGTCTTGGGCTCTTAAATAGGGCGCATTATGTCATTTGATGTGACCCCCCACAAGGGAGAAGTAGGTGATACCGTAAGCGTAATGAATCCACGTCAATTATATTACCTTTAGCCCATAATAAATTATGTTGGCATGTTAGTTCATGGGATGCTATGAATTGGCTGTGTTGGGCAGAGGAGGGTTTTACGACACATTCTACTCACGCGATCTGACCCGAAAATCAATGTACAGTCCAATTGATTATCGTTCATCACGAATGATGGTACAGCAGTAGCTGGATATAAACACATCCCGTGGGAGTAAGGCTAGTGCGCTCATATCTTAAGTAGTGTGCTTGTATAAAAGTTTCCCTTTGCACTGATATCCAGCTTCTACTGCATTAATGCAGGGTTTTTTTCACCTGAATCCTAATGTACACGTTTATTCAAGTTGTTTAGCAAATGGTATTGGAATGAACATGGTATGGCATAATTGTTGCTGTTTGAGTTTTTGTTTGATTTTCCACAATGTATTTAGTGTATATTATCAGCAACATTAAATAAGCTATATACAATGTTGTTGATAATTGAGGATGTATTGAATACATTTTATAAGTACATTGCTGGATTTCAAACCTTTATAACTCATCAATCAGTACAACGAGGAGCATACGATATTTAGCTGCACGTGGTTTGCCAGACCAGAGCATTCTATCGCGCACACTATCCAACCAGAATTGAACTTATATAAAATATCAGCATAAGCAGTAGAAAACCGACAACATTGAAATGCAGCATATTTATTCATATATATGTGTTTGATAATTAAACGTGTTTAATACATCTTCATTCCATGTTGACGATGATTGAGGATACATTAAATACGTTATTTAATAATTGAAGATAAACTATTACACTTTTTCAATAAAGGAAAATCCAACATAGGTATAAAATCCAACACAGCAACAAATATCATGCCGTAACATAGCCTGTCATATGCCAGTGGTAAGCATCATGTTTTTTTTTATAATTTGCATGCCGGTTTTTGTGGATGTAAAACTGATTTTCATTTCATTGCTTCATATGAGTGTGTGCAACATACAGCATACAAATGGTACCATCGTAAATCCGAACCATGTGTATAAATATATGTTTTTCCTTATTCAAACAAAGCAAATTAATTTGTGAAGCTGAACTTTGATTTTTTTTTCACGTTAGGGGAGAAAAAAGCCCGTCTCAGCCACTTTCTTCTGTGGTGTGGTCTCCTCGCAGCTCATCTACTTGCCTTCCCCCTGGGGCGATTGCAAGGCTGACCCCATCAATTCAGACTTCTTCGACACCTACAGCATCACGGCTTGCCGCATCGACTGCGAGACGCGCTACGTGGTCGAGAACTGCAACTGCCGCATGGTGCACATGCCAGGTCTGCCACACGCTTAATTGTTGGCTAATTAAGGGAAACGCGCTGTGTGTAAAACAAAAATACCATTTTGTCCGTACAACTACATACTCTATATGTTTGGGGTTGTGCTGTATCTAGCTTTCCGATGTCTGTTTGGGTTGTACCACTTGCTGTCCAGCTCCAACGTGCTCGAACTGTTATGTGCTTGTTGATTTTACGTATAAGTGCGTTGGTGTTTGATCACTATAAGCAAAATTGTGTATGTATTTGTCGAACGATAGTTTTCTTCAAACTGTGCTGTTGGCCTCTTATAGGTGTGGAATTTCCCATATAAGGGCAAGATGGTTCATTGCCTTTATAAAACATAAATAACTATTTATTTGATAATTGTTTTTTTACTGTTTTATCTGGCAACAAAACTGACACCTTTTTTTACAAGGAGTCATGTTTGCATCGACCACAATACCTGCGGTCGGAATGCAAACAAAAAACACAACTCTGATAATGTATGTATTGTCCTTGAAATTGATTGGTCCACACCCGAGACAGCTTTTCTTAGAGCCTAGTCTCACATGGTGTTGGACCAGATGACACCAAAAGGCGCACAACTCAAAGACAATGCACCATCAGAGTTGTATTTTCTGTTTGCATTCCGACCGCAGGTATTGTGGTCAATGCAAACATGACTCCTTGTAAAAAAGGTGTCAGTTTTGTTGGCAGATAAAAGGGTAAAAAACAATTATCATATTTTGCTACTGGAAAAGGAGGTTACAATGGTGTAAATGCTTATCCCCGAGCTCTCATACTCTGATGGTGGTCAATGCAAACATGACTCCTTGTAAAAAAGGTGTCAGTTTTGTTGGCAGATAAAAGGGTAAACAACAATTATCATATTTTGCTACTGGAAAAGGAGGTTACAATGGTGTAAATGCTTATCCCCGAGCTCTCATACTCTGATGGTACATTGTCTTTGAATTGTGCGCCTTTTGGCGTCATCTGGTCCAACACCATGTGAGACTAGGTTCTAAGAAAGCTGTCTCGGGTGTGAACCAATCAATTTCAAAGACAGTGCATACATGATCAGAGTTGTGTTTCTTGTTTGCATTCCGACCGCAGATATTGTGGTAAATGCAAACATGACTCCTTGTAAAAAATAGGTGTCAGTTTTGTTGCCAGATAAACGGGTAAAAAAAACAATAATCCTATTTTGCTCCTGGCAAAGGAGGTTCTAATGGAACTATTTTGATATCTGCTGGTACATTCTAAAATGTACATCTCTAGATCTAACATTAAAAATTAAAGAATGTATTTTTATTTAGAAATGCAACTGGTACGTAAATTTATTATGGTTGCCAGGACACAATAATTATTTTTTTCAAAATACTAAATTACTTGGCTTGCACCAAACTACAACTCTTGGTGTACCTGTATGCTTGGCTTAATCTAATTACATAGATGGTTTCACATGGCAGCCAGCATATATGTCCTTCCAACAATCCCTAATCGGCTGCACGCACTACAACACTTGGCACCTGCTAAGTGTGGGTTTGTGCATTGAATCATATATCTTGAAATATCAGTACACCAAAAGGTGCAGGTCCATTTCTTGTTATAAATGGTATTCATTAAAATAGTTTGCTGCTAACTTTGATTCTTTAGGGAATGATTATATGAGCCATCCATATACAGTGTATTGAAATTTTTATTTACAAAATCTATGATAATGATTAAACAATTGTAGTACCGTATGAGGTAGCTAAAATGCTCGTGAATACAGAAGGCTGTTGTCACTGGTGGTAATGTGTCATAGTGACCATTATTGGCATAGTGGAACAAACATCTAAAGTGGGTTCTTTCCCACGTGCACAAGCAAGAATGTGACAGCCTCTTCTCCTGTTTACAGCCCAGAGAAAATAGTAGACATTCTAAAATGCGAAGACAGGATACAATCCATCAAAAGGAAAATCAATTTTGCAAAATATTTGTTTATGTCTAAATTACTCCAAAAAATATACACAATAATTAAGCAATATTCTTGATATTAAATCGCATGTTATGAAGATGCATGCTTGCAAGGTTACATAGGTTGCTTATGTAAGCAGTTAAACAGTTACGTGCTTGTACTTTAGTGCAATTCATGACCGTGTTAAGAAAAAACATATATACCAAGTACTCAAGTCAGAGCATTTCAATTCAAGACTGTGCTCTTAGGACTGTTGTTCCCACATTGAAATGTTGAATTGTTGCTTAGCCAAAGTCCAGAGTTGACGATGGATACCGTCATTATTTAGCAGAGAGGTTTTTTTACCCCCTCTGATCAATTTCCTTTAAGTCTTCTAAACAAGCTTAAAAGGAAACGAGTGCAGCTTTTAAGAGCATATAATTCTAAGAGCATATTCTTTTAAGAGCATATTCTTAAAACATGCAGACGTCCATATTATTGTGTGTTCATATATACAGTGTAAGCTGTCAATAGTATCATGAATAGTGCAGTACATTACTTTGGTATTGTACCAAATAAAATTGCATATCCACTGAACACAGTTAAAATTGAAGATGGTCGTGAAAAGGGTCTTTCACATGAAAACACTGGTTCAGTAAATGTCGGAGAATGTTTGAAATAAGAAATATAAAATGACGGCTGTGTCTGCGAAGCATAAAAACCATGACGTGGGATGGAAACACAAAATAATTTTGGGTTTAGAGTATTGATTGACTTCACTTAATTTTATGTGGCCACAAATTCGCGGTTGATTTTATTAAATGTCTGAACGGAAAATGTATCACTGTCCTTAAAGTGGCCTTGAAGCTAGTCAACCAAACGTGTTCGTGTTTGAAACATAATCACGTATATAAGATTACAAACACGTAAGCGTTTGATTAGATCGTTCAATTTACCATGTAAATGTATGCAGACTTAAGTTAATTATTCTAGTGTTTTATTATTTGATTAAAAAATTTGATCGATGTTTCGAATGTCTTCTCATGTTTAGCCTCTTCAAAGTCATATACAATTACAGGGAATTATATTTTCACACGATAACAAGTATTGCCTTAAATACCCTAATTGTTATTTTTTCTACTATTAATTAGAAGTTTTTTCTAGATCATTTGTCCCCACTGCTAATTTATTAAAATGTATATTAGTTTATTGTAAAAAAAAATTCCATTTCTCTTTTATGAGCATGTATTTACCTTCTGAAAATAAATTGCATTTAAAACAAGGCTGTACCTGAATAGATGTGAAAGGGTGCTTCTTCTTGACTGGAGTTTATCATGTGTGTTGTTGGTCAAATCCTGCAGGCGATGCACCATACTGCACACCGGAGCAGTACAAAGAGTGTGCAGACCCAGCCTTGGGTAAGCATCTAGCTCTGATGCTGCGAGAGAGTTCTCTCCTCGTGTTCCACTTTTTTGGTCATGCAGCACCCCTTTTTGAAACATTCTTACCTGTTTCACCCCCCCCCCCCCCCCCCCTGAGTGTTTGAGATTGTATGCTGCTCTTTGCGGATTTTGATGGTGCTTGGACGCTTTTATTTGAGAAGGGTACCGCTGTCAGTGTTAAATCATAACAAATTACTTTGTTACCGCACTGGGAAAGGGCATCACAGATCATTGCCGTGATATTTCCTGGTTTTGTCCAGTGCCACTGCAAATGCCGTGAATTCACCGTAGATGTAGATTTACACTTTCATCAATTAAACATGATTTATAATCAGGAGATCGGTTGCTTTGAAATGTCAAAAATAATATCCAAGGTGATGCGTATATAGATATCCCATGCAAAACAATACGGAGCAATTGAGAAAACAAAATTTTATTTCAAAGCCTCCACATTTCTCCCACCGATCTCAATTCACTTGTTCAATCTTTTAACACTCTCCTCTATAAGATAATGAGCCATCACATTCATGAGATGAAATCACCTCTTGATAAGAAAGTACTGCAAATGAATCACTCTGTATAACAAATGCCCGTTAAATACATTGTAACAATATTTCACGTATTGTAATCAATGTCATTTTATGATATTCAATTACAAAGGTGTCCTAACACATTAACAATTTTGTTTCATAGAAATCATTGAGATTTTTTTTTTATTAAGGACGTACAAAGACTGTCTGCTTTCCGTGTTCTCAGCTTTGTGCTTTCACTGAATATCCTCATAGACTTTCTAGTGGAGAAGGACAACAACTACTGTGTCTGCGACACACCATGCAACACCACACGCTACGGAAAGGAGCTCTCCATGGTGAAAATCCCAAGCAAGGCTTCGGCAAAATATCTCGCCAAGAAATATAACAAGACCGAAGATTACATCCGGTGAGCTGATCAAATTACCCAGAATGTGAACCAATTAGGCTTGAGCCGAGATAGTGCTTTGACGAGTGACCACCAATCACAACACAGGTGTAGTAGGCTTTTTGGTTAACAGAGAGCAGCACAGCAAAATCCATTGTTCTGTACTTTCACCCCCCCCCCCTCCTTCATCAAACCACGCTGACTAGCATGGAGAAGTATGTTCAATGAACCCTTCCTGCATGCACGGCATAGGGAGGCCCTCATCCAGAAGTGGATTGACACACTGGCCGTATATGTACAATAATATTCTTAGGTTTTTTCGGTAAAGTAGTATCTCTTGGAATCTCTAATTTACTTGATACAGCAAGCGTGCTGTGACGGTTCCACCTGAAGACGGAAGCTTGTGTTGCCTCCGAAACGTCGTGATTTTTATTTTTATTTTACTTTTACTAATTTTTATTTTATTTTTTACCGACGTGACTTTACCGAAAAAACCTAAGAATATGAATACTTGCAGTCACGAAAGCTTCAAATCTAGAATTAATGTACAATAATCCTTAGCACTGTTAATGTACTGCCATAACGTGTCGGTCATGGGTTGTTTTCACTATACTTCACCATGCTTGTCAGTGCAGGTTGGTGTATGGGTTAGGTTAGGGGTTGTTATTTTTTTTGTAAACTGAAGAAGAAAAAAAGAAAAAAACCCTCACAATGCATATTACCATCAGCCGTGATCAATCCACTACCATGTTACATTCCATCTCGTGCCCGCAGATGAGCTGATTTCATCACTCACAACCCCACAGTGGATGCCCTAGTGGGCTAAATTCTCTTCATTGGATGTCACTATGTCATTCTACTCCATCACCGACCACAATCCTTTCTAGCGTAATGTTATACAGTAGATGCATATAAATAGCGAATAAATGTTTGGCTCACACAGATATGTTCTAAAAAAAAACATGTGTTTTTTTTTTTCCACCACGCAGGGAGAATGTGTTGGTTCTCGACATATTTTTCGAGGCTCTCAACTATGAGACGATTGAGCAGAAGAAAGCGTACGAAGTTGCTGGTCTCCTGGGTAAGGGATCATGTAATTCAATTATTCACATGTTGGTGACTTTTTGCCAAGAACACATGATTCGAATGTGTAATACATTGGTCACTGTTTGCTTCCAAGTTTTTATTCAGGGGAAAAAGAAAACTGAACAAAAAACAATTGCAAGAAATATAGATTTTGAAACGTTATCTTGTGTCAGCTATATAATTTTCGCAGGGAGCTAAACATGCATAACCAACCTCCTTAACGAATTCACGTTTACACGTAAAGTAAAGCCAGTATACAACATTAGAATGGACATCTGTCATTTATAAATGACGCGCATAGACTATTGCGTTTTAATATTTATAGTTTTTTAAAACGTATTTAAGCAAGAGTGATACTCGTTGCTCGTAGAAGCTCTACGTTGCAATGCCTGATGTGTGTTGGATGCAGGCGACATCGGTGGTCAAATGGGTCTGTTCATTGGAGCAAGCATCTTGACCATTCTGGAAATATTTGACTACCTTTATGAGGTAATATGCACATAACGTATATTTATTTATTGTCACGTAACTTAAATTTTATCGTATATAACGTTTATATTAAATGCAGTACTCATAGTCCTTAAGGTAGATTTTTTTAAATGAAAATTACTTTGTTATGTTCATCGTTACATTAGGTGGTATTGTTCTTGCAAACACATTTCTGCTATTTTATTGTTTTATTTAACGCGTTTGCAATTGGTTATTTTTTTCCCTTATTGAGGGTCATTGCATTCCCATTGAATGGTTAATTATATTTTTAAGGTTCAAAATGAATGATATAAGTTTAATGATTTTTGACAGCACTGTCAATTCAATTATACAGGATTATGATTATATTCGTGATCCTTGTTTGTTTGCCAACTAGGTATTAAAGGACAAGGTTTGCAAGTGCCGCAAGAAACACAGCAAGAAACGAAGTGAAAATATGGTAAGTTATCTCTTAGCTGCACAATTCATAAAATACATCTGTATAATGTTGGTATTTAGTCATCTACGTATCATGCGTGCTATTTCTTTCCACAACATGGTAACCCATGACAGTTATTATTTTATTGATGTAAAAAATATGACCATCATACATACCCTTGTGTTAGGTTGACATTGTGTAGTATTTTGTAAAATATGTTGCATGTAAATAATGCTAAACATTGTGAAAAAATTTAAACCAAGATTTACTATATATCCTGTCTAAGATGTGATAATTGATACATACGTATTAAGGTTATAATTTGTCATGGAATTACGTTTATTTTGCACCTTTATGAAAATAAAAGTACATGTCGATTAATGGTACGCTTTAAGCGTGGCATTTAAGATATTTTTCTTAGAGAATTGCTCTTAATTTCATATCCTATTCTGGTTTATTTTTTTCAATTAAAAATCTAGTATTTTGCCACCGCATCCTGTGTACATTATTTTTGCTCTCTCTCTTAGCATCTGGTGTGACATCCAAGGCTTTAATATTTCACTGAATATTTTCTGGGTCCCTGTTAGACTCTCATAGAGTCGTGACGAGTAGTCACGGCAATCAGGAGAGAGTATACTAGATCTGGTGTGCAGGTGCAGCACTATTTTCTGGATCACCGGTAGACTGGAATAGGCGCGTTGGCATGTAGCCATAGCCACAGTGCAAAGTAAACTAGAATTGGTGTTGGCAGCTGAACTTAATCCGTGGTGACATCGCAACTCGTGGTGTATTCCCCTCTGCTGTGTTGTACTTGTAGACACCTTGTGAGACCCTGCGGAGTCACCACTCGCAAGACGTGCACTTCAACAGCAGCATTCTACCTCATCACACCGTCAGAGGGACGTTTGAGGATTTTGCGTGCTAATGGCTTATATTAATCTCCTACATGTATTTACAAACAATCGGAAGGGTGAGTTAGCGATCTCCAATAAGATGAGAAAACACAACAAACAAACAAAAAATCCGTTCCACTAGGTGCAGAGTTTTGTAAAAGAAACTCTCGATTATTCAGGGTAATGGGGAGGAAGGGGTAGCACGGATAAAACAAAAACACGGGCAACGCAGAACGTACGTGATTCAGCCGATGGAAACTAGTTAATTGCTTACTAATTTAGAATGGGGGAAAAAACGATGACTGTGCTCTTTTTATTCTTCCTTAAATTAACAGGTTTATTTGCCGACATGCTTGCAATCACGTGGCCACTGAGTCGTTGACCCTCTCGAATGAGAAGTCGGTAATAACTAAAGCAGCCCATGTAAAGATTTACATTTTTATTTTGGAAGCTGAAGCATGGTTAATCCGCAACCCATGTAATCCACCCACGGATAATTGAGAGTGAACATAAGTAATACACCCTTAGTTCTAAGTGATTTTTGCAAACATTTGCACACATGACTGCCAAAGCCTAACCAGACGCATATTCACTCTTCACTCACATCATTATTGTAAGGTAGGCCAATATTAATTGAGTTTAACACGTAGGCTTTCGCGACCAATATTAATTAAGTGAATGAAAGATTGAAATTCACTGTTTTAAACAGCTAATTATGGTACTTTTATGAGTCAAGGTAAATCAAATCTGTTTTAACACGTAGGCTTTCACGACCAATATCATCCATAATAGAGATTTTTTTTGGGTTAGATCGCGTAAATATATACAGCACACCGGTGTGTTGGAGAAATAAGCCATGTCCTCAGATTGTAAATGTTGTGAAGCTAGTTGTAATTACTGGCGAAACGTCGTACTCAGTTTGTAAATGTTGTGGCTTGGCTCTCCAACACACCGGTGTGCTGTACTAGTGACGAATTGGCATATTCTGTTTACATGACTACCCTTACTAGTTGGCTGTGTCGAGTGGTAGCGGGTTTTTAAAGACACATTCATATATTTACGCGATCTAACCCAAAAAAACTCCATTATAAATAAAATCTGCTGTATTGAAATATACTTAATCATTTATATAATACTTTTTTATTGCGGTAATGAAATTTTCAGCTTAGGTTTAAAGAACAAACATGCATGTAATGGTATTAACAGTTTTTGTTTTATCACATGACAAAACACACAGTGGGCAAATATGAAAATAGATAAGTGCTAAGACAAATATCAAACCATAAGTGGCCATTTTTGGTCATTGTATAATGAGCACTTTTTCAGTAATAACATTTATACTACTGTATTTCTTCAAGTATAATCTGTAATAACTATTAAGCCGGAAAAATATGTTTGTTCAGATAACAGGGTTATGATTATGTACGTAAGGTTTGAGAAAAAATGTTAACACAAGTATATAAATGTACGTGTTCACTTTTGGCGCACATATTTACCGATAAAACTTTAGACTTCACGTGAACAATCCTTTACACCATTTAAAAATACAATGAGACAATTTTGGGGTTTCTCTTTCAAATGTGCTACCCATTTGTGCTTTCATATATAATAAATCAAACCGGTAATGACATGCCAATAGCATTGTAGCAATCTGACTAATGTAAACATGTTGTGGGACTGCGTTGACAGTGGTGCACGAAAAAATGACAAAAACTCAACGCATAAGTCAATAAGACTGCCCTAGAGAGGAATAATTGTATTATAAGCGACGTTTCTGGCAATGGCACTTCTTCGGAGCAGAGAGATCAAGCAGATATTCATGTTATGTAGAAGAGCCATTGCCCAATATATTGGCTATTATATGTGTCCTCTTAAGGGCAGAGTTATTGATGAATGTATTGTATCTTTATTGTTTAGCTAATGCAGTAACTCTTGCAGCTCCCCGCAGGAGCTTTCTACCACGGATAGCACACAATAGGTATGACTTGATTTTATTCAATTTCTTTGTGAGTAATTAAATTTTTTTTTATTTGGACCATGCCACCAGCAAATGATGGCCCATACATGCAGCATACGTGTTCTTGTAAAACACATTTTCTTTCATCAACAATTGTTAGTTTTTTAAGCTGAATATTAAAAAAAAATTAATACAAATTCATAATTAAAGAGTACTTCATTTTGGTAAATAAACGTTGCTTGTAAAGATTTTTTTTCTGGAAATTTCTATCGCATGTATCTGTGTTATTTTCCCAAACTGGTTTGTAGCCATGCTTGTATTGTAATTTATACGTAGCATTTGAAATATTATACAATATTCATAGATTAGGTAACGGTGAGCATAGATATACACATTATAATTGTATTTTTGTGCCTAAATTATGCTATACATTATATATTTACTGTTTGGATTTAATATTCCTAATATTGCTTATTGTTATGTTTTGTGACAAATATATGCCTTTAAGCGTTTATATTTTAAAAGTCTAACATAAAATAGGAATTATAAGATTCCTTTATCTCCATATCTTATGCTATTTATTTTTTAATTTCAAACAAAAGCATCAATACATTTACAATGAAAGAAGGTGGTACATGTTTTGTAGTATTATACATTGGAGAGGGGAAAAAATACCAATATTTTATTCTATTTTAAAAACTTAGTTCAGCAGGTGCCTCCATCAATTAAATTAATCTTGCAGCCTTAAACAGAAATCAGTCAAATCGACATCTATTTTGATTGCTCAGTGGGTTCATTTAAATCAATACGCAAACACAAACCGTCCTCAGTGGCATAATTTTTTAGCGATTTACAATAATACGATACGGTATAATTATACAGAGAACAATTTAGGCATTTATTACAGAAGTATTTCACTTCATTGAAGTGTAGGTGATGCACAGAGACTACTCACAATTATTTAATAAAAATGTTTTTTCTTCAGACTTTTGCGTCTTTATAACACAAAACCCTTCAATTGGTGGTTAATAAACAATAGGCTTTACCCTTTCCGGAAATAATGCAGGTGTTATGATGGTCAAACGCCAAATAGACACCTATTGCAAGAAATTACGTCTGCATTAACCACACATGCTTGTGGTAAACATGCAAACAAACGTGCTTTTATAACACTATGTAACACCATTTTTGTTCCTGCTTTTGTGACCAGGACTTTATGTGAATGAAAGACACAAATGCACACGTTTTCTCATTGAAAATAGGTAAATTTCTAAACATCACTGTCCTGGTCACAAAAGCAAAGTTTTTGTGGTATAATATCCATTTTCTGTACTTTTGAGGCATAAGCAATTAGGAAGTAACTCTTACGACCCAGGAACAAAAATGTGTTTTTTGTTACACAGTGTAATAAACTATGCATTATCCTTGAAACTGATTGGCCTACACCAGAGACAGCCTCCTTTATGGTAATATTTAATCGGCGTTAGACTAGAGAATGCCAAAAGGTGAACAGCACAAAGGCAATGCAAATATCAAAGCATTAATAACTCGGGTGGAGCGGTTATATCTATGGGACCATTTTCACCAGTATCAAGACTATGGAAATAGGGTACCATAGATATAACTGCTCAACCCTTAAATATGTGCTTAAATTGTAGCAACAAATAGGGACATTCATCCTCGTATGTGGTTATTTTGTATTTGTTTGCGTTGTAATGAGTACATTTGTTATTGTCAATACGATTTTCATAATTTAAATTTTGGAGAAGTTGGAATTTTGTAGTGAAATTTCTATCATATCCACGGGCGTAAACACGTGAAGACGTAAAAGCACAAAATGGCCGACACTATGGAATGGTGAATTACTTAAATGCATCAGCTGTTTTACGCTGATGTTCATATTTGATTGGCCCCTTACTGATACTTGATTTCCAGATTATTGAATACCTAAATTATCATCAATGAGTTTTAAACATGTACACGAGTCAAAACAATCAAAATAGCCCTTTTGATTGTGTTTCTCTAAGACTATTTTAAAATATCTAACATCTGTCCAAATTTATTCAAGTTGAACACATAGCTTGCAGGTTAAAATATACTTTAATATGAAAAGAATGTTGGAAATATGAAAAAGCATACATTGTATTTCAAATACGAATGTGAGAGCATTCCTGATTATATACTGACGAAAGTTACATTCAGTCTGCCGTTTCGTTCAGTGAAAATGTGGGGTTTATGATTTGTAATGCTTCTTACAATGTTCGCTACATAAAATCCAATAAAACACTTGTACAGCACATAACTGCACTTGCATATTAGCGGCAGTATACGGTGTACGTGAAGACCACATTCTTCAATGCATTGAAATTGTGCTTTTAAAAAACCGTACTGTAGTATGTTTTTTTTACAATATGTATTATTTATATCAATATACAGAAGCAAATAATGCGTATGGCAATGAATTAATCGACTCTGTGGGATAATTTGTATCGTAGCTTCTTGTCTTCATTCTATAAACAATAGCTTACACGGTACGTGTCATTTTGAGCTTTTAATGAGCAACTAATTGTTCGGTGCGGCAGAGTTAAAACATTGGAACCAACACACTTGAATATACGATTGATTTGTCTGACATTCTTCAGTAATTAAACAAAGAAACAGTTCCGATCATTAATGTTTGCTTTGGATTGACGAGTGTATTTAATGCATATACCTGCTGTGTAACTGAAAAATACTTCCTCCCTACAAAAAAAACGGATAGCATGCAAGGAAACATGATTATGAAAATTGCTTATTGGTGTTAGAGATTCACATCCATTGATTGAAGGTGTTTGTTCTCTTATACTGCTGTAACTACATGGATGTATATGAAAGGCTCGCCATGCGAATGTCATCGAGTGAAATATGTATCGTAAAATACAGGCCACTGCTGGATGAGGAAGGCCCCCCACCACAGACATGCAGTCGTGGAGGTTGTTGGACCCTTCTTCACCAAGTTGGTCAGTACGGGTTGATGAAGGGGGTGGCCCAAGACTGGTTCAGATATCACTCGCTACTGATGTTGGCCGTGGCCAGGGGAAACCACTGCGTAATTCACATACCTGTCAACCCCCCCTTACCAGTGCCTACCTTATTACAGACCAATTCGGACCTTATTGGTCACCCCGTGCCCTTATAAATCTCAACGTTCATCCTACAAAGTCCCATCACAATGGAGAAACACAAACAAATAGTTTTTTTTGCCCGTGTTGAAACGGCTGTATGCCGTATGGACCTGAAATCTCAATTTGCCTGTACAAGAATACGGGTAAACCGTATGGGTTGACAGGTATGAATTCGCACAATGCGCTAACCACTGCATCACCGCTCCACGCCATCTAGTGCAACCCTGAATATCAGTATAATCTCAACCAAACTCTCTAAGATTGATTGATTTATGGATATGGTAGCTTGGGTGCTTTTATACTTATTTTGATAAAGAGAATATGTTTAAAGAGACATTTTATGCAGTGTGATATATGCTTTTTAATATAACTGGTTTTCATGTTAATGCGTTGCATGGATTATTATTCATGTGAAATTGTTAATTAAACGATGTCATGCGAATATCAGTAAATATACCGCATGTTTATGATATTCCACCTAACTTTGATTTTATGCAAAGTTGCATGGTTTAGCAACCTACCATTGGCAATTGAAAAATAACCCGTTGGAACAAGTCATTGCAAGTGCATAACTCACATACATTATTAAATACACAAAAAACTGATAAGAATAAAGTTGTATCATGTATTAAATATGATTTACCCTATTTATTTATGATGCTGAGTTGTGCATGTTGATCAATGTCAGATGTATAATACCTCCATTCCTGCTAAACCAAAAGTTGAGGTGACGTAATATAAAAATACAATTCAGTAATAATGTCAATACTGTAGTAATGACCAAGTTCTAGCGCACGTGCACACAAACACGTACAGAGGGACAGCATCGGTATTTTTTCCAGATGGGAGCTCTGTTATGAGCAGTTTCGGAATGGGATTTCGATAAACCTCAAAATTAGCTGCAGAAAAACAGCATTGCTGCAGTAGCCACGGGGATGAAAAAAAACGCAAATCTAAAGTGACTTGTACGAACGTACACACCCGTTGTTTTTTTACGCTTCATAGCCTCTCATTCATTTATTTACCGATCCTTCAAGTACAGAACAGGGCTGCAGCAGTAATATCGACAAGTGCTCAGATCTGCTGTGGGGTAATTATTTTTTTTTAAGTAGATCCCTCTGGCTGTGCTAATAGATGGCAAAAGTACAGCCACTATATGTACATGTTTGAAAGTGGGAAGGTGGGAGCAGAGGAAGTGAGAGCAGGAATGATGTTTATATAAAAAAAAGTGTTAAATGAAATACAGTTTTTTAGTACTGTATACCTCTGTAACAAGTACATGAATATTGTGTTCTTTTGATGTTTCAACATATTTTAAAAGTATACATGTGATTTGTGTGTATAAAATGCCTTATTATGACCATGGCCGTGACACTGATTATTGTTTAATGTTTAATAAGTGTATACAGCTTCAATGTAATGTTGCCTTGTGTGATTGTAAACGTTAGAACAGAGCTACCATGAGAGATTGATGGGACAATGTCAATGTGCCACACACCAAGGAAAGGTTGAGGATATCTCTTGCAGCTCTGTCTAGGGATAGTGCCAATCGTGTCTCTGATGAGACCTCTTCAGGTGGTATCTGTAGCAGACTAGCTTGCATCTGTCAAAAGTACATTTTCTCCACCTACTCTGTGTTCTGCTCTGTTTAAATGGGCGTGCACGTTTCACTGCATACATGTAATATCAAACGAAACAATAAAATGCATTATTCATACAATGTTATCTGAGTCTTTGTACACACCTGGCTCTGTTGTCACGAGGTGGCATCGCTTTTATCGAAGTATTTCACTCAGCACAGATGCTACCACGGTGTTATAATGGCTCGCACACGTGACTTTTCAATTCGTTTTAATCCGGGCAGTTGAAGCAATGTGCACATTTCTTAGATCCAGTTCGTCCATCACCAGGTCGCATGCGGTGGGGTAAAGTGTGGGTCACTCCGATCTCTTCCAAGACGTCTGACCAGCATGGGAGAGTAGGCCCAAATCGCATCTGGTGGGACCCACTAGAGCTCCTTCTAGTGGAGGCATTTCTACCAGTTGCAAGGAATATGAATTCCTGCAGTCACGAAAGCGTTAAGTCAAAAAGTAATACGTTTAGAATGCAAATCAAAGTTACGTTGGCGTTGATGAAATAGGTCGCGTAATTTAATTATTTAGTTTTTATTTAATTATTTAGTTTTCCTTTGAAGTTTGGTTTTATGTTATCATGCTACAAAAGAGCTGATAAAAACGTGATCTGTCGATCCAGTTATGATATACAGTAATTCATTGTGCTCATCTCCCACTTATTTCTTCTAGATTCATAAGTGATCCTAGATATGAAATAGATTTGCCTTTAGAATATAAATTACACTGACCTACAAAACAGTGCTCATAGCTCCAGGTTGTAATTTTCGTGCAGTGCTGTCACACATCGTTTTGGATTTATAAAACCAAAAAAATATTTTATTACTTTAGGATGAGCAGGCACAACTTAACTTTAAAAACAGCATGTTAAACGATGTATCCATAATCATGATAACGGAAAGAAACAATGACATTTCACTTCTCACATTGTCATGTATACATTTTCTTGGTTCTTTCGGTAAAGTCACGTAGAAGGGAAGTAATGAAATAATAAAAATAAAACATAATAAAATAATTCTCACGACGTTTCGGCCACAACGCAAGCAGCCGTCCTCAGGCGAAGAACGTTTCGGCCACAACGCAAGCAGCCTGAGGGCGGCTGCTTGCGTTGTGGCCGAAACGTCGTGATAATTATTTTATTATGTTTTATTTTCATTATTTTATTACTTCCCTTCTACGTGACTTTACCGAAAGAACCAAGAAGATTTTATGAATATGTTTGCCTTGAAAGAGACACAGTTTAACAAAGAAAACTGTGGATGTAGTCACGAAAGCTTTAAATCGAAATGTATACATTTGTCATAGATTATTTAAGGTTTCAAAAACAGCATTATAAAATGTAGTACATGGTATGCAACACGTGCATTTAAACATCAATAATTTTCCAGGATAGCCTAAATGAGTTTCAAAACTTTTCAGAAGGGTCCTGCATCAGAAAGTTCGTCAATACCATTGAGAATATTCGCCATATGGGAGTCAACTGGAGTAGCCACGAACAGCCCATGCATACGAGGAGATACCACTCACAGCTCCACACAGACGCTTTAAATCGAATGACATTTTCAAGCCAATGAGTGAATCAATTCACACTTTGGAACACACCCAATGCTGTACTACAATATAGCATTATATATATACCATTAGCACATGAAATGCACTTGTGGTCACCCATCCAAGAATGAAACATGCTCCACTGCCTTCTACCATTCGGTGCATTTATGGTTATTTGAGTTATGGACATACACACTTTACATGGGCAGTTCTACGAATTAGGCAGCCTCTGTAAACATTTCTAAAATAATCTAACGATGTATATGGAGTGCCAATTTGAAGGCGACTGCCAATCATTTCTATGGACCCCGTTGAATTCTGTATTTTTTCATTTACAAATAAATTCTTCAGGCAAAATCTAATTACGTCAAACAAAACTCATTAAATACCCATTTGTGTGCAGAGATGAGGCTCCCTGTGACCAACAACATCTATCGTGATGCCAAAGTTATTTGTTTATTTTTTACTGGAACCATCTTTGCTGATGCCTTTAGAAACATCAATAAGTTGAGGTCAATGGCTCCATTGGGAGTTGATCCAGAAGAGGTTGCTATTACAAAAAGATTGGAAATCAGCCTGTGCAGCCAGCATCACATGCATTCTTGACATTGCCAATTAAAATATATCAAATATTTCCTCAGCCTACAGAATTGTCATGCAATGTTGTACAAAACTAATGTATGGACGTGGAATTATTAGGATTCTATGCAATTTTTTTCTGGTAAAGATTTTTCACTTCAGCATGAAATAATACAGTTTCAATTTCATTTATTTGGTATAGCCCTGTGATCCATTCGGCTCTTGAATCGAGTGCAACCGCAACAAACAAAAAACAAAAACATGAACAAGAAAACATCTTAAAGTGACTATGTGCAAACAGAAAATCCAAGAAAAGACAGCAAAATATTGCAGAAAAGGCACCGTACACCAACGCCGTGTGCAAAAATCCCAGTGGGATGCAAGCCAAACAACAACAACTGCCTGTCTAGTCCCTTCAAAATAATGTGGCATCTGTTAAGTTCAAGATGTATTTCAAATCACGGTAGGTCTAGCCTCATTGCGAACATTTCAGGAAAAATGCAATAACATTTGTGATATCTACCATTTTATAAACAATGCAATCCCAGACATGAGATGAACTCCCTTAGTTTTGTTAAACTATCTTCCTTTGTCGTTATTCACACCTAGGAATATGTTAACAGTGACACACGAATATTTGCATGCCCTATATTCTAAAGAATGACCTGCAAATATCGCAAACTTGTTTCAAAGCACTTTTTCTCGTGTCATCTCTTGTTATAGTCATTTCGAACATCAATGCATCATCATGCTCAATAGAAAATGGTTAATGTGAGTCACTAAAGTCAATAGTTTAACTCCACTGGGAATACAGACCGTCCCATTTTCAGAAGGACTCGTATTCATCACATCTATAAAGCATTGACGTACACTGTTTCTGTAAATCACAACCACGGACAATACGTTGTGATTATGAAATAAATAAGTGTCTGAAAGTGAGATGACCATGGCTTAAAAGCTCTGGAGATAACCATGGAGACAGAGAACGGCTTTGTGTCGAGTGGGAACATGTTTAAGAGTGGGGAAATTAAAACTCTCATAATAATTCATGTTTGTTCCTAGCAACACGAAACATCGACCTGCAAACTATATCCAAGTATCTTTTACAGAGGAACACAGCATAGTCACATTCTCATCAGTCGGTGTTCCCTGAAATATATATATGTAGTGAGTCACTTCGGAGACACAACGTGTATTCTACACGGCATAACACCGTTATACATGGGACCACAATACACACCTCTTACACTCGTTACGCACGGGACTATAACACGCCTATCTCTGGCGCACACGGGATAACGGATAACTATAAGCGGGTCAGAACAGCCAGTCTGACCCACTACGTCGGAGACGAAGACGTAGAACGTGGGTTCCACTTCACCTGCAGACAGCCCCGATATTCGATCAGGGCTTCCCTTTTATCCCTCTCGGCGCGGCCTGGCTCCACCCTCGGCCGCACCTCCCTCTGGAACATTCCCGAAGGTTCCAAACGACCTTGCACCTGCCACCTGCCCGGCTCCGCCCATAACCCCCTTCGGGAACTCTCTAGACGATTCCTGGATACACTTCCCGTGTCCCCTCGGTCACCTTTTCTCCACATTCCTCACCCCGGCCCATCACGTGTTTCACCCGATGCCGGAGTAACTCGTCCTCATATGCCCCCATCCGCCAGCAGCCCCCACCACGCTCCCCAGTGACCAATGATGTGGCAATTACTCCTGATGTGGCAATTACTCGCTGCGCTGGCGGAGTGGCTGCTATCTCCCCTGCAGCCGACCTCTCCAGTGCTGCTGCGGTGGTCCACTTTACTCCAGTGACCCGGGTGCTGCTGCGGGGTCCACTTTCTGTCCCGCCTCCTGCTCCCCCCCCCCCCTTCTCTCTCCCCCCCTACTGCCGAGGCCTATATAACCTCGTGCCACGGCAGATCTCTCGCCTACTTCAGCAGTTTTTTCTTGCTGTGGTTGTCCCACCTGATGACGATTGCTCGTGTTGAGATCTAAACGTCGTGATCTATTAGTTTTCTACCTACGTGACTTTACCGAAATGTATGGATTCCTGCAGTCACGAAAGCTTCAAATCAAGAGTATCCCCTACTTGTCGGTAGGACTCATTTGCCTCCCTCTGCTACCACCCGGTACCACGCCCCTAGTAACCCACTGCATGGCACTGCACGATGTGTGAGCCTCTGCACCCAAATGTCCTTGTTCTACAGCACTTAGCGCGACGCGCCGGAGTGATCCATTTAACATCACTACATATATATGATCTCATTCTTACATTAGTTGGTAAACCTTTCATCCTTAGAGCGTGGCTTCAAACACATCAAACAAGGCACACAACTTAAGAAGGAATTTGCCAACACTAATTGTGATTTTGTTTTTAATGAGCATATATGAATGACTTATTTAATCACGTTTGAATGTGTTTGATCTCATTACAAAAATATAACATCGTGATTAAAATAATAATAATTTACAGCCCTTTATCAACACACTCGTTGATGAGGGCCTCCCCATGCCCTGTCAGGCATCGGGCTTCTTTGACAATAGGGGCCGTCCATAAATGACGTCACGCGATTTTGGACGATTTTTGATTCCCCCCCCCCCCCTCGTCACACGGCGTCACAAAAAGTCAGACCCCCCTCAAATATGACGTCACAAAGCTCTGCCCCCCCCCCAAAACCATATTTCCATTTTGAAAATAAAACATGCTTCAAATCGCTTTAAACTATTGTCATTGTAGTGCGTATTTAATGTGGCGCTGCACTCTGATGTTGTAGGAGTGTTGTTATAACAATTAGTGTTGTTATAACAATTCTATATTTATTTAAAGTTGCGCATTTTGATGTGACATCACATTTCTAAACCCCTCCCCATGTCACACATCGTCACAAATGTCTGACCCCCCCCCCCTAGGTGCGTGATGTCATTTATGGACGGCCCCATACAGT